CCCTGTCCCCTGCTGCTTGTACGTCTACCTTTCCGTCTTCGACGCTTCTCAGCAGTTTCCTGAAGGGTTCTACACTACCAGCCAATCCCTTCTGGAATTCATCGCGTGTCCCCTCGTCTCCCAAACGCTCTACTTTCCACCGGAACACTTTCCTCTTTTTCTTACTCTCCGTCTTTCTGGATCGGTCGATGTTTGCCCATATGAGGAAATGGTCGGTCGAACCTATATCTATCGCACTTACGTGCAGCTCCGGGACCTGTGTGCTCCCCCTATCTACCAGGATGTAGTCGAGGATCGAGTATTCATTGCAAACTGCCCTCTGCCTGGTGAACTCTGGCTTATCGCTTTCCCTCCTACCGTTCAACACCATCAGCTCGTTGCTTCCCAAGAATTCAAGCATACTCACTCCGTTGTCATTCACTTTGTCTTCTCCGTGCTGCCCGATCTCCTGTCCTCTACTGCAAGCTTTCCCTACTCTGGAGTTGAAATCGCCCACCATGACAACTTCTCCCTTCCTACTGAACCTCTGGACATCTTCCCCAATTTGTCCGAAGTTCTCCTGCGCCTTGCTTGCGACTTTCTTCGACGACGGTGGGACGTATACGTTCCCTAGAAACAAATCTTTCTCACCCCGCTCCCCAGGTATCTTAAGCCATAGGCTTTCCTCGAACTCCGTTTTCACCACTACTTCCACCACGTCATACAAGTGTTCCTTGACCAGGAATCCGACTCCCCCCTCCCCCCTTTTCTTCGGGTCTAAGCCCTTTCTTGCCTTCCCTACCCACCGGTACTTCCCTATTTTGCTTACCACGTCCCCATCCTTCAGTTCCCACGTCTCTTGGATCCCCACTACATCCAGATCGCTTTGTTCTACTTGGTCCACTATTTCCAACCGCTTGCGCTCACTCCTTGCGAACCCGCACACGTTCCACGACCCCACTCTCAGCTTGTGCTTTTCCCTATTGGAGATTTTGCGCACTCTATCCTTCGCCTTCCGCTTCTTCTCGGCGTTCTTCTGATTTGCCTGCTCGTCTCCCCCGCCCGGTCTCTTCTTCGCCTCTATCGCCCTCGCCTCCTGTCGCCTTACCTTCTCTGTTCCTATCATGTTCGCGACGCAAACCCTCCATCCAACCTTCCTTACGTAGTTCGACAGCTTCTCGATGTCAACCCCCAAGCACTCTTGGCTGTCTCCCTTGGTCAATTTCACCCGGAAGTGTTCATGCTCTCTGCCTACTTCTCCCCTTGCTAGGCAATGCAGTCCCTCCGTGTCACACCAGTTCTTGAACTCTATCCTCGTCATGTCCCTTGGAATTCCAAACAGCAGCAGCTCCAACCTGTCTCCCTGCCACAGTTTCTGCTTCCATCCTCCCGGCTTCTTCACCATCCTCATGATCTCTACAGCAACTGGACCTCGGCCACTTGTTTTTCGTGTTTTTTCAGGAAGGTATACGGAATACTCGGCCTTCCCAATCCGAGTGTCCGGTGGGGGTTGTGGTTCCTTTCAGTTCTTTTGCCGGCTCACCGACGCTAAATAGCGCCTCCAACATGGGCTCGTAGTCTAGATCCAAGTTCACACCTCCTGGCACAAGTACCCCAGTCTTGTGCCGGGCGTTCTGCTTAGTAAACACCCAGACGTCCCCCGACCACCCAATTTGTCATCTCCGAAGTCCCGCGGTACAGGCTACTTTCCTCCTGGGAGGTCATTTTCACCACAATAAGTTCAGGGACGACTTGCATAGCCTAAGATCCTACTCACACGCCGGGATGGATTGTACAACAACGTCCAGCTTCTCATGTACGCTCCACCATGGGTTGCTACCCCACTTACGCTCCCGATTAGACCTATCTGCCGAAAGTTTGGCCAACAATTCCTTACTGCTTTGTACTCGCCTCTCTCCAATCGAAAACAATTCATTGTGCGTGCCGCACATCTAGCTCCGCAGTTTTTGCGTGGTTGGTCAGGTCGTTCAGGTGAGTAATAAGCTTTGCTTGGATGGCTCTGTGTTATATTGGTCCACTTCAAGCAACGAGCACCCCCCCCCCCTCCTATCGTCCGATCCATTTTGGATCTCACGCCGGAGAGTTTTGGGGTGTCTTAACTTTAAGTCCTCCACCGCCCAATGGGGGACTTTAGTATATTTTTTTAATGCCGTACCAATAGGCATTAACCTTAGGTAAGCTTGTGCTTACTTTGGACTGTACCCTCATCCTCTGGGGGAGGTAGAGGGGGGGGGGGGCCCCATGGCCCCTATTTTTTAAGAGGGGTTTGGGGTACGGGTTGAAAAAAGGGGGGGGGCCTTTTTCCCCGGGGGTCTCCGTTACCGGGGATTGGGTTTAAGGTTAAAAACCATTGGGGGGGGGGGGGGGAACTTTTAATTTTTGGGTGGGGAAAAAAAAAAAGAAA